CCCAGAATCCATAGCTGCTTTTGAAAATGTTTGTTGCTAATATCTACTAACATTTTCAGTGTTAAGAAAATGAATTAATTGCACAATACAGCATCTGGAAATTATCCCTTCTTTACCTATTAATGAAAACAGTTTATCTATAATTGCCTATTAATTGTCCTCTTAAACATGTAAATGGACATGTTACATTTATATAGATACAGGTGGTGTACCAGAGACTTAAAGATAGAGATATAAACAGCTGGAAGGCAAGATAAGAAATAGACTAGGTGGCTGATATTCATTCAAGAACAAAACTATCCTGTTGCTTTTTCCCCTGGTGTAATTTGAAATGAAAGACAAGGATTAAGATCTTTTTGTTTTATCCTTTTTTTGGGAAAATAATCTAAATCTTAACTTGGGAGGGGGGCTCATTAGAGTTTTTGCTTTAGCAACTCAATAAAAAAAAAAGAAATTATTAAAATGCAGATATACCCTCCTTGAGTTCTGTTTCCAGGAACAAAATATTTAATTTGGAGCTGTTATGGCTTTTTGAAGCGTCTTCCTGCATACATCTGAAAGATGGGTATTCTCAAATATACTAGCTTAGGGTACATAAAATATGTGTGAGACAAACTGGGAATGGGATGAGTGGCCTCCAAAAATAACATCAGACTGAAAATTCAAGTGCTTTTTTTAAGCAGAGATCAAAGTAATAACAGTGTGGTGTTGGTTGTATTCTGGTGTTTGATTTGGGTCCCTACTTGGGTATTTCTATGACTAAGCAAAAGCCAAGCAATAAATGCCCATATTAGTGTAAAATGCATAAAAGGTTTTTAAAAAGTCCCCATCGCCAGTTTAATATGCAACAATATTTCCCTTCGAAAACAAGTGCTTACCAATGATCACATTAGGTCATAGGGGATAGAGACGTGTGAAAGATAAAACAACTGCAGTCCCCAACTGCAGGAAGCTATCCTGGTACGTGCTTAAAGAGAAAAGGGCCTACACTTGCTATTTCAGATTAGATCTTTCTGGAGCCTAGATAACTTTCCCTTTTTCATCGTGTATTATTTTGATAGCTACTTTTATGCCTTGGCCTGTCCCTAGTGTTCAGATATGTTTGCTCAGTCCTTGTAAAGAGAGAGATGGTTGTCTCTCCAAATAATAAACCTACTGTATAGCTCTGCTAAGCTTCCAACTTCGGAGCAACATTGCAGATACATTTCTCCCTCCCTGGCATTATTACATTAATCCACCAAATCAAAGCAGTTCTGCCTAGTAGTTGAGTTCTAGGGCCGGCATCCTGCAACAAGAACTTCTGCAGCCACATCAAATCCTATTGAAATTAATAGGACCCCACACTATGCAGAGGTAGCGCATTTGCTTGCAGGGATCAGGACCCAAGGTTGGAGCTACAATGGAATTATAGTAATCTGTTTTGGGGTTAGTGATGGGTGAACAACCAAACATTCAAAGAATAAGTCCCCCCCAAACTGGATTTTTATCTAGGCCATTAGGGTACTAATACATTTGATAGACAAACAGTCCTATGTAGGATAGAGAAACAAACTTGCTTGGATGCATAACAGTGCCTGACTGGCTAAGGTCCACTTTTTCACCAGGTGGTTGAGTGGGAAACTGATTTAAGTTTTTTTCAGCACTAACTTCTTCAGTTGCAATCATAAAGGGTGTCAGAAAATGAAAGAGGAGTTCCAGCATGATCCATGGGGCAGAACAAAGATCAAGCTCTTTCTAATACCATTGTACCTGGTGCATTATTCAATGATTCCCATTAACTGGCCTGGCCAAAAACACATTTATTGACATAGGTCAAATTCCATCTGAAGTGGAAGACTTTGCTTGTGCATTTGTGGGAAAGAAGTAGACTCATAGACTCATAGACTCATAGACTTTAAGGTCAGAAGGGACCAATATGGTCATCTAGTCTGACCCCCCGCATGATGCAGGCCACAAAAGCTGACCCCCCCACTTTCCCTTAACTCTGCTGTTGAAGTCTCCAGATCGTGATCTAAAGACTTCAAGTCGCAGAGAATTTTCCAGCTTGCGACCCCTGCCCTATGCTGCGGAGGAAGGCGAAAAACCTCCAGGGCCACTGCCAATCTACCCTGGAGGAAAATTCCTTCCCGACCCCAAATATGGTGATCAGCAGAACCCCGAGCATACAGGCAAGATTCTCTAGCCAGATCCTCATTTTACCAGCGATGGCCGTTATTGCCTAATTGATTAGAATCCCGTAATCCCATCAAACCATTCCCTCCATAAACTTATCTAGCCTAATCTTGAAGCCAGAGAGGTCTTTCGCCCCCACTGTTTCCCTCGGAAGGCTGTTCCAAAATTTCACCCCTCTGACGGTTAGAAACCTTCGTCTAATTTCAAGCCTAAATTTCCCCACGGCCAGTTTATATCCATTTGTTCTCGTGTCCACATTAGCACTGAGCTGAAATAATTCCTCTCCCTCCCTGGTATTTATCCCTTTGATATATTTAAAGAGAGCAATCATATCCCCCCTCAGCCAAGTAAACTTTGGCAGAGTGATTAGAGAGCCTTCACCATTATGAACCATGACAGTGGGGTCAACAAAGGCATTTCTGAACCAGAAGCAAGTAACCAGTATGGAGATACCAGCTACTGCATGCATGCCTTGTGTGTGTGGCAATGTGAGAGGTGAATCCCTATGGTTGATGGTAGACAATATGATTCTTCTCAGTGCAGTGGACACAGACAGAACAGAAAAGTCTAGGAACCTGAAGTCAGTGGAGTTAGAAGTCATCTGAGACCCACAAACATCTGGATCCAGATGTTTCTGAGTGACATCAAATCTTGGTGCAGTATTGTGGAGTGCAGAGCGCACGGGACAGCATTCAACAGTAGTCATTTGGGCCCTTTCTTCATTGTAGACAATGTTAGAATAATCTTGGAACACTAGTTTTGTTTCTCTTGTAAAATTCTCCTGTAAAACAATTTGCATTTTCCAATTTCTTATAACCTCTTGCATGAAGGTAGTCCCAAATGTGTGCAAGTAGTAGTGATATTTCTAATGAATCCAGTTAAACAGAGGTGGATACTATTGGACTGTTGATGATAGAATCAGGGATCATGTGCATGTGTGTGTCGGTAGGTTATTTTTGCAAATCCTTTGCTCATATCTAATGCCTTTGGACCCAGAGCACAAATGGAACCATAGAAGAGAGGCTCACTTGTGGAAATGTATGGAAAAAGTTGACTTCCTAGGAAGAGGGAACCCAATGAGCACATACAATTTTAAATGCAAAGTAAAAATAAATATATAAATAAAACATCTAAGGATTGCTCCACACATCCAAACAAAGATATTCCTTGTGGGGAGTGTGGAAAGAAACAATAGGTTATCATTTTTTGCTAGGTCTTAAGTAGCCACTGCCAGGGGGGCTACAGGGCCATGGCCTTCCCATTTTTGAAAGTCCCACTTTTTGCCACAGACCCGGCCCTCCGGCCCTTCCTTTTCCCCTGAAGCCCCCTCCCCACCCCTCTCCCCCAACCAGGCTGGAAGCTGGAACCTGGCCCAGGTAAGAGTGGCCCGAGAAGCTAAGGTTGCCAACCCTCCAGGATTGGCCTGGAGTCTCCCGGAATCGACATCGAACTCCCGGTGACCATTGAAAGCAATCCAGGAGATTTTAATAGGCTATTTAAAGAAAATTACAGTATGTCATGTTGGGGGGGGGGGGAAATATCTCCCGGAATAGCTTCAGTCATAGTTGGCAACCCTACGAGGAGCCCAGGCAGCTGTGGGGCGCTGCGGACCCTGCACCTGCTCGGGGTGGGGGGACCCCGAGAGCAGCGCCGGGCCTGTGTCCATGTCCGCCTGCCCAGAGCAGATGGAGGGTCTGCCGCTCCCCACAACTGCCCACGCGGCTGTTACCTGGTCCCGGCTCTGGTTTCTGGCCTGGCATGAGGGAGGTGCCTGTGGGGCCAAAGAGCCGCAGCCGGGCCATGGTAAGAGCTATGCAGGCATCTGTGCGTAGTGGCGGACCCTCCACCTGTCCTGAGGCCAGGGACATGGGCCGGGGGCTGCTCTCCGGCCCCGCACCGCAGGCAGGTGGAGGGGCCCGGGCTCCCCAGCCTAGCTCTGGCTTCTGGCTTGGCCTCGGGGGGAAAGAGGGGCAGGGGTGGGGTCATGGAGGGGGCAGAGCCTCGTGGCATCCCCAACTATTAGGAAGACTCTGTTGCCCCTGGCCACGGCTGGTGTTCACTCTTAGTTGTTTCTCCTTTTACATTTTGCTGATGTTGGGGCTGCCTGGCTTCTTGTCCCATGATATCTGTCTAGTCAGTTTGGAAATACTGTAAGAAAAGACTCTCTGTCCAGATGGTTATTATTTTATATAAACAAATTCACTCATCACCATTGTCACATTTTCCAGACACACGATGACAGATAGACATTCTAAACAATCTACCAGTTAATTGGAAAGAACTTCTTTTAAACAATCTACCAGTTAATTGGAAAGAACTTCTTTTAAACAATCTCCATAATTGGCCATCTAAGTAGGACCTACATACAATGGACCACATCCTGAGATCCTTATCAAGAGCGTAATCCTGCAAGCGGACAAATATCCTCAAATTCCCATTGGAATTAATAGGATTTTAGAGCCAATTCAGCTTCTTGCAGGATAGGGCCCTCACTAAGGATTTCAGGATCGAGTCCATAGTTTTGCATTCTTGTTATTGTGTTTGCTCCAATGCATTCTGAAGTAGCAGTTAATACTCCCCAGAGCAACACCCCACGTTGGGACACAAACGGAGAAGAGAAGCAGCCTGTTGGCTTAAGCTTCATTAGAAGCACAGAAAAAAACAACAACAAAAATTGCTAGATGGAAAAGCACAAAGAGGCTTTTATACAAGTGAAAAAGCTAAAACTATTTTTAGAAGACCATGACACTATCCCTTTAAAACGGAAACCGTAGAATCCCTTTTACAGTTCTTCCCACGCCTTTCTTTCCCTGTCCTCACATACTTACAGCTCTGGCAGTGGTTTTCTGTGGGTCCCCAACATCGGCCTGTGCAGGACTTGTGGCATCGTCCACCTGCAGGGTGAAAACAAATAGAGATCAGTTAGAAACTCAGCTTCAATCTTGGGCCTCTATTGATTCCCTCTTCAAGGGAGGCACTACTGTTGTGATATGAGGATTTATATGCCTTACCGGGGTTGGCAAAACAGAGTCAAGTTAAGTAGCCAGCCCTATGTGTGAAACATAGATGAGGCTGAGGCACATGACACTGGTGCTTTATTTCCTAACTCTACTACTTCTTCTTAAATATATAAATTGAATTTGTGGATCTTGAGAACAGATGCTGCTCTACAGAGGAGAAAACCAGACTGGGAACATCTAAGTATATTTTCACCGTTAACTATCCCAAGCAGTGAACATAATGGTCTATGCTGGATCCACCCAGCCTCACATTACTGGTGGATGCCGCTGCTAGAAATGGTACACAAAAACATCTGAACCCCATAATAGAAAATAAACATCAATACAAATGAACAAACAAACAAACAAACTTCTGGGGAAAAAGGAAAGCAACCGAGTGACTAATAAAGAAACGTGGCCAAATCATTGTTAAAAGATATGGACAGTTTTATTAGATAAATAGGTTGGGTTTTTTTACTCCTCAAAAGCAACCTATCCTCATTTTTTGAGGACTCTTTCATTCTTCATAAAATATTGCTCAGAAAATCTATTAAGCAAGCTTCCACTTAGAGCTTGATCCAGAAGCCCATTAAAGTGAATGGGAGCCTTTCCATGAATGTGTTAATAGCACTAACTTGTAATACTCTTCTCTATACACAAACTTTGGGAATGTTGACAGATCAAATATGACCACATCCCTGTGCTAACACTCTGAACCCTGAAGTTCTAGCCCCAAAGAAAAAGTGTTATTTACTTGGCTAACAGAGCTTGGGCGAAGATCTGGTATTTTATTCACATAAAGTCAGAAGGTCATAAGGATTATGTTCCTGAAACCCACTTTCACCACTCTGACATGTATACAGTCTTGATGGCACAATTGATTATATTGTACAGTAATTACACTGTGTGTGCCAACTACCTTGTTGAAAGTAACAGTTCTTTGCTGGACTGAAGTTCATCTAAAGCAATTATGCCTGGAAAGCATTGTTGCTGACATCAGCAGCATATAATTTCCTGTCAGTTTCTGCCATCTGTTTATTTAGATCACAAACACATTATAACTACCTAATGCAAACTCATTCTGGCTGACAGGATGGGGACTCCATCTGGCATGAATAATGCAACTTTAATCAGTAATAACGATAATTATTATTAAGAGGCTACTGGAGTCCTGTGCAGAAAGCTAATAAATCTAAATTGATTTATAACACTGGAAATTAGAAAAGAGGCTGAGGCGAACAGCAAACGTGGGAAACTTTTAACAGAAGAGACTCTCAGGCAGGGCTCGATTGTGAATAGGTCCATAGGCCCATCCAACTGAGTAAGGAGTATTAAGAACCTGCCTTATGCCCCTAGGATATTGGATCCTGCATATCAAACACAGCGGATATTGTAAACCTACTTATTCTCACTCCCATAGAGCAGGAGGGCAAAGTCTTGATTCCACATACAACATCCACACTTGTTAACCAATGCATCTGAGCCAATGCAGGGAGTGTTGAAATTTGCTGGTGGTACAGGAATGAGGGGGAAGCCAGTGAGGAAAGCCATCTCACAGGTGTATCTCTGTGGCACAGCGCCTCCCAGAGTTACTCCTAAGGCAGTGCAGATTATGCTTAAGGTTGTACCTAATGTCACATTGAGTTTAGAGAAGATGGTTAGGGAGAAAGCTAATGGAAGTCTTGTGACTATATGTATTGAACTCTTAGAATACATAGCAGATCATTTGTTAATTGTCTATCCCAGAAGCAGAATGAGATCTCATTCCCCCCCCTCCTTTTCTGACTTCTATTCCCACCCTATATTTACTGTACCCACTGGATTTTTCATTGCCATAGTGACATCTGTGGTGAGATAACAGTAGCTTCAGGCTTCATGACAGGTGACCCCTAGCCAATGAGTCCTCCTGCACTTCTGTGCATGCTGGGATCTTTGAAAGCTCCACATATGAATAAAAGTCTTTGCATCTCAAATTCCTTGGCACCAACATGATCCTTGGTATGGAACCAAAAATTCACTCACCCAGCTCCTTCCAGGCTGGAAATAAACATGATTCAGCATGTTCAGAAGTCGTTTTTAAAGAACTGTAACTAGTCTGTCTGCTTCCTATTACATGACTTTGTTTGGCAGTGTCAGACGATAATTTGCATTTAAATAGAGATCTATTTAACAGGAGAGCAGGGGAAAGGCTGCCAGCTCTCTTTTCTCTCATTGGGAGCTCAAAGTGGCTGCTTCATTGTCTTCTCTTCTCTCAGTTACACAGGCAAAATGAGAAGCTGAGCATGTAGACAGCACATCTTTGAATTAAATTATCACAAGTCCTTTTGAAGGTCACATATCAAATACACTGGGAATAAAAAAAGTGGCTTGTCCATTTTGCTCTTTAGTTGTTAGTGTTAAGAACCTTGGTCCTCTCCCAACATGAACAAGTACTGGCCCAAATTCTGCCCTCACTTATCCTCATGCAGCTACAAAGACTACACTGGGTTTGTTTGCACAAGTGTAACTCAGGGAAGAATGTTGTCCTCTAAGGATCTGATTTCTGGAACTCTCTCTCACAAGAGCTGTCCCACTGGAGTGCTCATGAGAGTAAGAAGTATCCATATGAGCAAGGGTTTGCAAGAATCGATCCAAACGTCAGCTGTTTGAAATTCGTCCCCGGATCCAAAAATAGGGACCTTCCTGCAGAGAAGCCACTGAGGGCATGTCTACATTACGCGCTGGATCGACAGGCAGCGATGGATCCAGCGGGGGTCGATTTATCGCGTCTAGTCTAGATGCAATAAATTGACCGCCGAACGCTCTCCCGTCGACTCCGGTACTCCACTAGAGCGAGAAGCGTAGGCGGAAGCGACGGGGGAGCGTCAGCTGTCGACTTACCACAGTGAAGACACCGCGGTAAGTAGATCTAAGTACAAAGACTTCAGCTATGTTATTCACGTAGCTGAAGTTGCGTAACTTAGATCGATCCCCCTCCCAGTGTAGACCAGGTGTCAGAGACAGAGATGTCTGCGTAGTCTTTTGTTCTTATGTAGTTCTATGTATCACACTAAAATGAATTTCAGAAAGGGTCTTGATGGACATGAGTAGATTTTAGAAGGTTCACAGTGAGCCGCCAATGAAGAACTGTTTTTCAGATCAGAGATTTGGGGAATAAAATAGGCAATTCCTTTCATTGTACTCACTGTGTTTATAAAAACCAAAACCCTGCGAGAAGTAGACGGAATCTCTGGGAGACTCCTCGCAGGCTCACGTCAATAAAGAAACGTTAAAGCATGGAAGAGTGCCAAGTATCCTTGGTGGGGGGTTTTGGGGAGGGGTGTTTTGCTTTTTTAATAGCAAGGTGGGTTAGGTAAGGAATCACACTTCCTTCCTATGATTTTCTCCATTCACCTTTGCAGATTAGGAGACTGATTTTGCAAGATGTGGAGCATCCTCAAGCGTCAATGGTGAGCACCTTGCAGGATCAAGGCTTATTTGAGGGAGAGAAAGCCCGGATCTGATCATTCATCCCATACATTCTTTGTGCAACCAACTGTTGACGCTCAGCAATTAGCCGGAACCTGGCCATCAATATGTGATGCAGAGAAAAAAATTCTCAAGCAATTTACCTTGTAAGTGGTTACCTTGCCCATCTGCTCAATTGTCATTCATTACCAAAGGCAATAACCCAAAAAATCTGTTTCCCAATCTACTTTTGTTTCCTAAGTGACACATGAAAAGGCAGCCTCCAGAGGAGCCTGAATCTGTGGTCCCTTCGTTGCCCCTAGTGATGAAAATGTCTGAAGGAGACAGCTAGTGATGTCAGCTCCATTTCTATTCCAATTCCAGAATATTACTGGTGTTCTGCATACATAATGAAGTTTCACTCACTGAAACACAAAAGAGGTGTGAGGGGGCAAAAATCAGGACTGTATAACTGTACATCATTTGTATTTAATCTAAATGCTGAAAGGCCAGAGTCATTGAGGAGCCTGTAAAGTAATTTTGTTCTGGCAAATCCCATGAAGAAAACTGACTACTTGTCTTGGATGGTTTATAAACAACGAATCCTGCATCTTGGCTGGTGGTTAAACTAGACGACCCTTGCGATCCCTTCCGACCCTATGGTTCTATGATTCTAGGACTCATTTCCCTTTGGCCAATATTAATGCAACATGTCTTTCATTATGGAGGCTGGGGCAGGAAATCTTCATACTCTTCCAATGCATGGCTAACCCCGTGGGAGGCGTCTATCAACAGCTGACTCCTTCTGCTCTATCAACTGAAAATGCCACCAACAGAAACTAGGACCTCACTAGACTGGGAAATCCTAAGGATACTTCCACCTTGCTCTAGCCCAATAACTGAGAAGAGCTTTCCTTTGGATCAAGATAGACTTTATTATGACAAGAAGCTACAAAAGACTGTTAATGACAAGAGAAGAAAACTGATGTTCTCCTCCTAGTCCCAAGTTAACAGCAGTGTTCCTCCACAGTTCCTTGTCAACTGTCATAGCTGCCTTAAGGAGACCCCTTTCACCCAGAAAATGGGAAAGAAGAGAATGCAGTAGAATTCAGAGAAAAAATGGTCTCACTTTACATGAAGTCTCCATTTATAAATGGCTTATAAAAGGTTAATAAATGATTAATGGATGTTATCAGCACGTTACTGATATGAGTAGCATATGTGATGGATGGTTATAAGCACCTCAGTAGCAGGTGCTATTCACAGTTATAAGCCATAGTTATAAGTAACCTATTGATCTTTTGACCTCTATATAACAACTTAAAACAATCGATTAACTATGGATTAAAACATCTATTAATAATTTATTAGCCCTTTATAAGCTAAACCTTAATTGAAATTGTGACCAAAGAAATTGACTATTTCCCTAAGCTTTAATGAGGAGGTTC